AGAGAGAGAGAGAGAGAGAGAGAGAGAGAGAGAGAGAGAGAGAGAGAGAGAGCGAGCGAGCGCGGGGGAGAGGAGAGGAGACAGGAGAGAGCGAGAGACAGACAGACAGACAGACAGAGACAGAGAGACACACACAGAGACGGTAGGTGGGCAAGGCCCACCGTTTAAAGGGAATGTAGCAAACGTGCACAGGAGGTGCTGTTAGTGGCTGCAGCTGAGGACGGATCCTGTCAGGACCCCAAGGGCAGGCCAGTACAGATGCCTGAATACTAACGACAGGAGCAGCCACTTTCTGGCTCTGGGCAATGTCACCATTATCCTGCTCAGGACACAAACTCTCCCTCTAATCCCTGGAGGTCACCAGGTTTCCTGCTTCCCTTGACCTCACATCATCCATAGCTCTGCATTAAAGACTATGGCAGGTGGGATTCCAACACTTCCTGTCCATTTCCTCTGTCCCACGCTGCCTCCTGTTACATGGTTGACTGTTTCATCCATTTTTCCTGAGCAGTAACTGATGTTTATCCATCCCAAGTCTATAGAGCATAAGGCAGACAGACTCAGGTGACCTGAGACATTGTCTTGGCCAGCACCCCATTCCCAGCTCTGGAAAAAGCTGAGGCTCATGGACTGAGCCTCCTCCTTTCTTCCAATTTCAGATAACCTCAATATCTTTTATAAATGACATTTAATTTCATTTATTAACTCAGTGTGTTCATGTGTTTTGGAGGGAATGAGTGGGTGCCATGGCAGGCTTAGGGGTGTCAGAAAACATCTTGAGGTGTCGGTGCTTACGTTCCACAACAGGGTCAGGTTCACATCTCCATGTTTGGAGGAAAGTAACTTCATCCTTTGAGCCATCCTACCAGGCCAAAACCATGTCTTCCGACCCCAAGGGGTTGCACACTACACACCACAAACTGTTTGGCTTCTGATAAAATCTGTCTGCACTCACCGGGCCCTGAATGCGCTGCTGTGGAAACGCTGAGCAGTAAAGAATCAAGCCGCACAGAGGGCTGAGGCGCTCAGGGCCAGAGCTCTGCAAAGTCCAGCCCAGACCGGGGTTTTCTCACTGTGTTTATGGGCTGAACAACAGTGTTGAATTCATACCCTGCACAGCCACCCGCAGAGGGCGCTTGGAGAGGAGATCTAGTGCAGTCAGGCATGCCTTCAGAAGCCGGGCTGACAAGGTTCCAGAAGTTTCTGCCATGTCTGTTTGAAGAGATAGCTTTCCTAGTGTTAGCTGTTTCAAAGTCAGAGGGAGTGAAGGTACAGTTGGGTTTCAGGTGAAGCAACAAGAACACAGGTCTGAGGTGAGCACTTTATCCTAAGTACGTTAGAAGTGAAGTTTTAATTCTTCATAATCCCAGAGCCCTTGAGGAGGAATTGTTACTTAAGCTTCCGCGTGTGCACAGTAGGTTGACTGCACCAGGTGCCCATTAAAGGTGATAAGTGTGTAACACGTGTTTCTTTCTCACCTTCACCACCACGGTCCCAGCCCTACACATGCGGATCCATTTTAATTTCATTGGTCCCTTAGGTGCCCTGACCCCTGCCAAGGGCTCCACCCTCTCTGCTGTCACCACCACTACCACCCTCAACACTAATACCACCACTGTCACCATCCAGAGGTCACTTTCTGATGGGCAAAGCATGGGTTGGTGACATACAGGACACACTCAGATGCCTGAACTGAACACAGACCCCAGGGGCAGCAGCTGCAGGCATAGTCCTGTTGCCTGTCACTGGTGTTCAGCAGGGACAGACCTGGTCACAGCTCCTCCTCTGCGCTGTCCTTCCTTCACCGTGTCCATCTCTCCTGTCCCTTTCTGGGGCCTCTACTCATCTCTGAGCCTTACTGGTGTCTTTCCATAGCTTTCTCTTTTGTTAACAGCACTTCTTTTTTTTTTTTTTTCAAGTTGGTGAAGCAATGAATTTTATTGGGGTTATTTACAAGAGTGTATATTGACATGATGATTACTTCTTCTTAACAATAACATTCTATCTACCTTTATTTATTTTATATCCTACCTGAAGGGTCTAGTACTTTAGTTATTCAATTTTTTTAAACTGTATAAGAGACGAATCTATATTCAATTTTAAAAAGTACACTTACACTTTATATTTTTACAAAATGCTCTTTCAGACTGTGGGTTACTTGTTGAAAGATTTCTTGAAATTTCTGTCCCTTTCTTTTTCTCCTTTTGATTTAATTTTCTTTTTTTTAATTTCTTTTTTTAATATAATTTTTTTATTGAGAATAGGAAAAAAAGTTTCCGCCTCCTCCCAGCCTCCCATTTCCTTCTCCCTCACCCCACTCTTCTCCCCTTCCTCCACTCTTCTCCCCCTCCCCCCACTCCTCTCCCACTCCCTCTCCAATCCAAAGAGTAGTCATGGTTCCCTGCCCTGTGGAAAGTCCAAGGACCTCCCCCCTCCGTCCATGTCTAGGAAGGTGAACATCCAAACAGCACTTCTAACACCTGAGATACATTGTTACATCATAGAAATTCATTTTAATTTCTTTTTAAATGTATCTCTATTTTGAACATATGCTGCTACCTACTAGAATACTTTCACCACCCATGAGGTAATGCTGTATCTATGAGAAGTGACCATGGGCTGTGTCAATTCTCACCGACACCCACCATGCTTGTTTGTCTCTGTCATAAAGGAAGGTGTGTTCCTGGTGGGCAGAACCATGGAGGTGAGGTGGCCCTGGACTGGAAGCTGCAGGGAGCTCTCTGGGCACTGGACACCTAAGTGATCATTCATTGAAAGGGCTATGGTGCAGTTGTTTTGAGAGGCCTGTGAGCCTGGAAGAGTGCAGTGACAAAGGCACAGGCTCTTCAAGTAATGTGTGTCCTAAGGGCCACACTGACGGAGTCAGGAAAGAGTGTAGGGTTCAAGGTCAAGGATGTGGTGAGCTATGGTGATGGCTCCTGAGTTTGTTCAGGGACAGAATCTGAGCCTTGGCACAGTGTTCACTATAACACGGACACATGGGCTCAACAGTAGAGAGGACTCCATGAACTTGGACACTAAGGAGCAAGTTGCTAGGCGGCTCATGATGCAGATAGATTTCTTTCCCATGTTTGTCCACTACTCAGTTCTCTTACCATTCTGAGCCCCCAGGGCAATGGTTTTGTCCACATCCAGCTGTCCCTTAGCCAGACATCCTTCCAAGCAATGATAGAAGGGGCTGTGTGACCCAAGAATGATCCTCTAACAGACAAAACCCAGGAAGTACATATGTCATCTTTCTGTCTCAGGTGTTCAGAACTTAGGAAGAAGGCCACTTGAGTGGTAAGGAAGGAGGGGACACCGCTCACTGCTGCAGCCTCAGGATGCTCCTGTGGCCAGAAGGGGAAGGTGAGATCAAGAAGGAAAATGGTTCTTGTATAAATTTCAAATATTCTTGTTAATCCACAATAAAGAAAACAGTTTTAAAAAGAGGAGATGATAGAAATCTGGAGACAATTATCAACTTTCTGTAGTCTACAACCTAGAAAACACGTGATATCATTTTCATAAAACACAAAGCATGACCAGGCCGGTGTTTACAAACTAATTCTTCACATATAATGGAGCAAGTGTAGCTTTCATGTGCATCTCAGCAGATCTCATCCAAATAGAGCAGGTGTTAAACTTCGGTAGGAATTAAGTCTTGAGATTTCCCCAAGAGTCTGCTTACAGAGAGCAGAACTCACCACCACATCCTGTCACCCCTCCTTCCTGTAGAGCCCACTGCTGGCACATAGGACCAAGAACCTGATGACCCTGCAGATGGTGTCCCCAGCGTCCCTTCCTTTCCACCCTCTGATCATTCCACCAAAATCCATCACTCCATGTGACCAAACCATGAAGAAAGAAATGGGGTTCACACCCAGAATCTGATTGTAAGATTGGGAAATAATTGGAAAAACACAGAATGAGGCAGAACTAGGAAGGAGGAGAAGTCTCTATGCAAGCAATCAGAAAGCAGTGGGAGAGCTGGCAGCTCAGGGACCTGTGAGGATGGTGAGCCTCTGTTAGGAGCAGTGTGGTGAGTGCGACTGGGGAGCAGCCATGCTGTGGCTTAGTCAGGCCTTGGATGTTCTTCCCAGCTTGGGAGCGTGGTCCTTATGTGGGATGTTAGAGGTTGTTGGATCTAAAAGGGCGGTGAAGTGTAGTGGGAGGTAACAAGCCTGTCCCACCTCTGTTCTGGCTTCCTTTCTCTTAATGTGGCCTCTCCTCTAGCAGGCACTACCACTGTTATGGCATTGGTATAAGGAGGATACATTCAGAAGCCATCAAGTGTCCATGGTTCTGTCCAGCACACCCCACCCCCAGTCCTCTGAGCTGCACTGAAGAAGAGGTCATTGAGTCAGGATGTCATGCACCTGGATGAGCTCCTGCAACTTCTGCTCCAGTTCCTGAGCCTTCTGCCGCAGCTTTGCAGCAGACTCTGCCTTTGCACCCTCCTGCAAATGCTTTGAGTCTTCTATGAGGCTGACCACATCTAGCACAAGGGTGAGACCTGCAGTGGCTGCACCCATGATCCGGGCTCTTTTGGTCATTGCCAGAGCAGTGCCTCCAAAGGCTTTCTCCACCTGTCTAGTGCTTTGGGCTGACACCTTCCCCGTTGTCATTAGACGCTTGGCATTATTTGTCAGGCGAGGGCTGGCTTTGGTCAGCTTGATGGCATCAATGTTCTTCCTCATGCCTTCCAGGTTCCGGGAGGATTTCATAAATACAGAAAACAGCCTGGAGGCGTTCTTCTTAAAAACTTCTTTAATGTCGTTCTCAGTGTCGTTGCTCCTTGGCAGAAGCTGGCTGGCTTCAGCTTCCGCCGAAGCCGTGCTTACCTTTTCCACAATGGTTGTGGAAACACTCGTCATAGCTGCTGCTGCTCCAAGCCCCAAGCCTGTGGCTGAAAGTCCCAGACTGACCCCTGCTGTCACAGGTGCCAGAGCGAGACCAAGAATTGTCATGACTCCAGACGCAGCACCGGTGGAGCTGGCCACCACTTGTGTGATGGTGCAGTCCCTGTGCACCTTGTCAATCTTGTCTGCAAGGGCGTGGAGCTTCCTGATGCTCTCCTCAAGCTCCCGTTTCATCTGAGGATAAACTTCCAGAAACCTTTTCTTCTCAGGTGAGGCATCTTTCAGTTTCCTGTAAAGGGAGAGACCAACTAACTGAGTGAGGAAGAGAGTTTGGAAAGATCTGTCCTGTGGCAATCAGAGCATCTGCTGGGAATGAAACGGAGGAGAGTCTTACAGCTGTACGGTGTCGTTCTTGCATTGATGGGCAGGTTGGATCCACCACACAATATTCAATTGTTAAGGACACAATGAGTTAAAAACCATATTAATGTGTCCTTTAAAATTTTTTATTTTATTTGTTTAAGGGTTTTGCCTGCAGATGTGTGTGTAACATGTGCAGGCCTGGTTTCATGGAGGGCAGAAGAAAGAATTAGATCTCTAGACCCAGAGTTACAGGCAGTTGTGAGCCATCATGAGGATGCTGGGAACTGGACTTCAGCCACCTGGCAGAGAATAAAGTGTTAACTCCTGAGTCATCTGTAGTCATTTATCACACCTTTTTATTGCTAGACATTTAATAAAGATGGCCTCCCCTCAAGGCCAATGTCACCACTACCAACGTACTTCTCTGTAGGAACTCTAAAACACAGAGAAATGTGGTTTGGGGTGGGGGGAATTCTTTATTTTAGGAAAGTTAGTGTTTTCCAAAGATTACACTTTTCCCAATTAAAAAAAAAAACTCCCTGGTGTCAGGTACTGGGCACTGACCTGTCTACCCTACAGTGACCTGCTGGAGAGGAATGTCCACATTTGCTTGGGGACTTGTGATTCGAGAGTCTGCAAATTGCACACCCCTGAGAGAGAAACCCTGCACAGTATTCTTTGAAGCTGATGTCTCTTTTCCCTGCAGCTGTGTGTACACCTGAGCTGGTGGGGCCGCTCACAGCTAAGACCCTTCCCCTCAAAACCCAGCATACAAAGTTCCCTTCCAGCTGTGAGCAGAAGTTAAAGAACCATGAGTGGATCCCCATTTCTATGTGGGTCCCATCCCCAAAGCACCTCACTGTGCCTCTGCATGTGTTTCCATAGCAGGCAAAACTGAGAATTCAAATTAGGTAGGTTCAGCCACCAAGACCACCTTTTCATTTGGGAGGTCCTTGGAACCCTGCTCCCATGCTGAGGGGACCAGAGAGGTGAGTCAGTTGCCACATGGCCAGACAGCTGGAAGTGCGACTGTGACCTTCCCAAGGGGACAGAATCCAGGTCCCAATTCCCTAAGATTTTCTGGCCATCCAATGGCGTTTGTTCCTGCTGCTGGCTTTCTTTACCCCATCCCACTTTGCCCTCAAGCCTGACTTTTCTTCCGTGAGATCACTGGAACCCCCCAAACAGCCTGTTTCAGGGCTGAGGGGACCAGAGAGCCAGTAGGGAGTGTTCCTACTGCTAACATCAAATTAAATGGAGAAAAACTCAAAGCGATTCCACTAAAATCAGGAAAAAGACAAGGCTGTCCTCTCTCTCCATATCTCTTCAACATAGTGCTTGAAGTTCTAGCAATAGCAATAAGACAACATAAGGAGTTCAAATGGGCTCGAATTAGAAAGGAAGAAGTCAAATTTTTGTTATTTGCAGATGATATGATAGTGTACATAAGTGACCCCAAAAACTATACCAGAGAACTCCTACAGCTGATAAATATCTCCAGTGATGTGGCAGGATACAAGATCAATGCAAAAAAAATCAGTAGCCCTCCAATACACAAAGGATAAAGAAGCTGAGGGGAAAATCAGAGAAACATCACTTTTCACAATAGCCACTAATAGCATAAAGTATCTCGGGGTAACAGTAACCAAGGAAGTGAAAGACCTATTTGACAAGAACTTGAAGTCTTTGAAGAAAGAAATTGAAAAGGACATCAGAAAATGGAAGAATCTCCCATGCTCTTATATTGGTAGGATCAACAGTAAAAATGGCAATCCTACCAAAGGCAATCTATAGATTCAATGCAATCCCCATCAAAATCCCAACAAAATTCTTTACAGACCTTGAAAGAACAATAACCAACTTTATATAGAAAAACAAAAAACCCAGGATAGCCAAAACAATCCTATACAATAAAGGAACTCCTGGGGAGGCATTACTATTTCTGACATCAAATTCTATTACAGAGCTACAGTAATGAAAACAGCTTGGAATTGGCATAAAAACAGAGATGTTAACCAATGGAATTGAATTGAAGAACCGGATATTAATCCACACACCTATGAACACCTGATTTTTGACAAAGAAGCTAAAATTATACAATGGAAGAAACATTTTAACAAATGGTGCTGGCATAACTGGATGTCAACCTGTTAAAGAATGAAAATAGATTCATATCTATCACCATGCACAAAACTCAAGTCCAAATGAATTAAAGACCTCAATATAAATCTGACCACACTGAACCTGATAAAAGAGAAAGTGGAAAGTAGCCTGCAATGCATGGGCTCAGGAGACCACTTCCTATGTATAACCCTAATAGCACAGACAATAAGAACAACAATGAATAAATGGGACCTCTTGAAACTGAGAAGCTTCTCTAAAGCAAAGGACACAGTTATTAAGACAAAAAGGCAACCCACTGAATGGGAGAAGATCTTCACCAACCCAGCATCAGACAAAGGTCTGATCTCCAAAATATATAAAGAACTCAAGAAATTAGACATTAAAATTCTAAATAACCCAATTAAAAAATGAGGTACTGAACTAAACAGAGAATTCTCAACAGAAGAATTTCAAATGGCAAATGATACTTAAGGTCATGTTCAACTTTCTTAGCTGTCAGGGAAATGTAAATTAAAACAACTTTAAGATACCATCTTACACCTGTCAGATGGCTAAAATCAAAAACACCAATGATAGCTTATGCTGGAGAGGATGTGGAGTAAGGGGAACACTCATCCATTGTTGGTGGGAATGCAAACTTGTGCAACCACTTTGGAAATCAGTATGGCGGTTTCTTAGAAAATTGGGAGTCAACCTACCTCAGGATCCTGCAATACCACTCTTAAGAATATACCAAAAGATGCCCAATCATACTACAAAAGCATTTGTTCTACTATGTTCATAGCAGCATTATTTGTAATACAGAACCTGGAAACAACCTAGATCCCCCTCAATGGAAGAATGGATAAAGAAAGTGTGGCACATTTACACATTAGCGTACTACTCAGTGGTTAAAAACAATGACATCTTAAATTTTACATACAAATGGACAGAAGTAAAAAACACTACACCGAGTGAGATAATCCAGACCCAAAAATATGAATATCGTATGTACTCACTCATTAGTGGATTCTAGCCATAAACAAAGGACATTGAGCCTATAGTTCATGATCCCAGAGAACTAAGTAATAAGGTGAACCCAAAAAAATACATATATAGATCCTCCTGGAAATTGGAAGCAGACAAGATTGCAAGACAAAAATTGGGAGCATGGGGGTGGGGGGTTGGAGTGAATGGGAGTGGGGGAGAGAGAAGGGAGAAGGGGAGGTTTAGGGAGAGCTGGGGGAGTGGGATGGTTGAGATGGAGGAAGGATGGATATAGGAACAGGGAAGGGGATATCTTAATTGAGGGAGCCATTTGGGGGTTAGCAAGAGGCTTGGCTCTGAAAGGGTTCCCAGGAGTCCATGGGGATGACCCCAGAGAGGGCCCTGGGCAGTGGAAGAGAGGGTGCCTGAATTGGCCTTGTCCCATAGCCAGACTGATGACTATCTTCCATATCACCATAGAACCTTCATTCAGCGACAGATGGAGACAGAGACAGAGACCCACATTGGAGCACTGGACTCAGCTCCCAAGGTCCAGTTGAAGAGCAGAAGGAGGGAGAATATGAGAAAGGAAGTCAGGACCACGAGGGGTTGGTTCACCCACTGAGACAGTGTGCCTAAGCTAATGGGAGCTCACCAACTCCAGCTGGACTGGGAATGAACGAGCATGGGATCAAAATGGACCCTCTGAATGTGGTTGACATTGGGGTAGACTGAGGGGCTAATGACAATGGCACTGGGATTTGTCTCTACTGCATGTACTTGCTTTTTGAGATCCTATTCTCTTTGGATGCACACCTTCCTAAGCCTGGGTGGAGGGGGGAGGGCCTTGTACTTCCCACAGGGCAGGGTGCCTTGCCCTCTCTTAGGTTGGAGGGGGGTGGGGAAGGGTGTGTGGGGGAGCAGGAGGAAAGTGGGAGGGAGGGGAGAAAGTGGGAATTTTGATTGGTATTATTTATAAAGAAAGAATTAAAAAAAAACTCAAATAGGTAGGTTCCCTAGCTCTCCAAAGGATGAATTCCCAGACTGAGAAGGGTGATGTGTGGTGGGATTTTGCTGTCATTTCTGACCTCCAGAGGATCTAGACACTAGAGGCATGGACTCCAGGAGAAATGCAGACCCCAGGTCTCTCACTGGGACTGTGTATGTGATCAAGGCCCAACAAACTTCTGGACACTGAGGCTTATGTAGATAAATATTTTTTCTTGAGTCAACTTTATTAAACTTTTCTAAGCTACTTTCATAGTGTGGCTCAGTCTTGACTTTCCATGCCTTTCCTGTGTACGTTGGTATTCCCTGCCCAGACTTGCCAAGAATGTTAAGTCAGGTTGTAAGACTGCCCTACTTTTGATACTCAATACTCAATCAAGTTCCTGTGTTTAACTTCTGGTGTCTTAGTCTTGACCTCTCTCAGGAGGAATCCCATGAGGTCAGCTTCACAGTGCCCCTGCTCCCTGCTCACTACTGCCCCTCATTCAGCTTGTCTGCCAGAGTCCCCAGCTGAATGCCTATCCAGAAGTGTTCTGTTTCTTCCCCTTAGGGCAGCAGCCCAGACCAGCACCTTCCTGACTGCTAACTCATGTCAGAACACGGTTTCTCTGCCAAGGCATCTTTCTTGGTGTGTGTCACCTTGTGTGAGCTCTCATGTGACTGTGCTGTGTCTTGAGGACAGCAGACAATTCTCCCTTAATATCTAGATGCACCGTTAGGATGGGGCTAATTTGGTAAAGTGTTTGCCATACAAACACGTGGACCTGAGTTCTGTGTTTCAGAGTCCACATAGAAAAGCTAGGTGAAATTCTTTCTATCAGGCTACTGTTACCTTAATACCCAAACCACACAACGATGCAACAATGAAAGGATCTCCATGTAGAACACTGATGCAAAAACTAGATAAAATATTGGCAAACTCAATCCTAGAATACTTAAAAACATTTACCATGAACAAGTAGGGTTCATCCCTTACATGCAGGAATGATTCAATATAAGAAAATCTGTCAATGTAATCCACAATAAACAGACAGAAAGACTAAAACACACGATCATTTTCTTAGATGGTGAAAAAGTCCTTGGCAAAATTCACTGCCCCTAAATCATAAAAGTTTTACAGAGATAGGGATCTAAGGAACTTACCTATATATAATATAAACAATAAACAACAAGCCAACAGCCAACATCAAATTAAATGGAGAGAAACTGGACAAACCAGCTCTTTCCACAAGTTGTATTCCAGATTCCTCTTTGGTTGGCAGGACTTGCAGGGCCTCTGTGTTCCTTGTGTCCCAGAGATACTCAACCACAGACATGATGAAGCCTTTCCTCTCTGGATGGGAAGGAAAGGGATTATGATTAGAGGAGCATGCTTGAGACCTTGAACGGCTTCAGGAACTAGGTTTTAAAATGTGTGTCTGAGCATCTGTCCCTTCAGGTATAATCTGGTGTCACTTTTGATAGGGACTGAGTTGTGTCCTTTAACTCATTTGTTAAAGCTCTATTCCCAGGTGACTGTATTTGGAGATAGATAAGGAAGCAAGTGAGGTCCCTGACCCAGAGGGTTAGTGTCCTCACAGCAGCCAGAAGATGCTCCCTCCCTCCATTCCACCCTCCTCTTTCTCTCTTTCCTATTCTTTTCTTTCCAGACACATAAGGGCTAGACCCTGGACTAGAACAGGGTACAGGCTCCTTCTGCACTTGGAAGAGAGTGTCCCCCAGGGCCAATCTGCCACGCTTTGATTGTGGATGTTGAGTTCAAGAACAGTGAGAGAACAGGTCTTTTCTCTTTAAGTCACCTACCCAGTGTCACTTTGTGATGGCATCCTGAGAGGACAGATATACCAGGGAGATGTCATGGTGTTTTGTAGAGACCTATATGGTTTCTAACTCAGAACAGTTAGAAAGTGAGTTTCTCATCCCCAGGAAGAGGGAGAGTCCAGTGATGGCATCCATCTACTCTGTGCCTGTGGCACAGTCCTTGAATGTGACCTTTTTCCTTGATTTTCATTTCATGTATAGGAATTTTTGCCTGCTTGTATTTATGTATTTGCACCATGTGAATGTCTGGTGACCAAAGAGGGCCTCGGGTCCCCTGTAGCGGCAGTTACAGCCTGCTGTGAACTTGATGTAGGCGTTGGGATCTGAACACATGTCCTCTGCAAGAGCAGCAAGTGCTCTTAAACACTGAGCCACTCTCTAGTCCCAAACTTGACTTTCGTCACTGGGATGATTAGTTATAAATTCTGAGTTCTAATTCATTAGTTTTAATTCTGGATTAATAAATATCTGGGAGATCAATAGCCCTTCTTTCAGTGAGTTGTGAGGGAGTTCCTAGATATAATAGATGCTAAGTTCTCTGAGTACATGAGGGGATCAAAGATTGAGCTGAGGCACCTTGGGAAGTAGGACAACTGGGATGTATGTGTCTTTGGGACTAATTGCCATCTTGTCTTGGCCCTTTCATATTATTGCTTTTGTGCGCCATGATGTGGGCTGCCCACCCTGCCTCCCTTCCAGGATGGACCAAAATATGCAATATTGTCAGTGAGATAATCTGTTTTCATTATTTACAACAATGACAAAAGTGAGTGACGTCAGCTTTAACAACTAACTTATGTTAGTCATCTTCGACTCCTCAGCAGGCCTCAGCATAGAGGCCCTGGAGTCCTAGGCCATGAGCAGTAGCAGAGAACAGACTGATTACCCATGCTAGCTGCTGGGTCTTGGTGTCACTCAGAGGATCCTGAGAGGTTTCCTTACAGCTCACCGGGTGTCCAGGCTGTAGCCTGTAGGAGTAAATAACAACCTGTGGGAAAGAATGGGGACAGCTCTGTGACCAGGGATCTGGTGACCCACAGGTCTCTCCATGGTGACTGCCAAGGGCAGAAAGAACTGAACCCAAAGCTTGTCTGCTCCTCTGGACTCTGTGACTGCTATTTAAGGAAGCCTGTCCTGTGGTCCAGCCCTGCTGCCCTCTGTCCTGGCAAGGAGGAGGACTAATGGCATGCTGGGGACAGTGGAGAAGGTGGCAGCTGAGGACACAGCTGTGGAGAAACAAAGACCCTGCACACAGAATGAGAGATGGAGAGGAATGTTCTGGAAGCCACATGTGGGTTGTTCCCAGTACCCTGTTTATATTCATTATACGCTCTTTTCTTTCTTTCTTTTTTCTTTTTTTTTGGGGGGTGGGTGGGTGGGTTTGGTACAGGGATTCTCCATGTAGCCCTGGCTGCTCTGGAACCCACTTGTAGACCAGGCTGACTTCTAACTCACTGAGTTCCACATACCTGTGTGTTGTTGGTTTTCTTACTGTTTTGATTGCCTGCCATCCAGCTCCCTAATAAATCGCACATGGAGGCTTATTCTTACATAAACCTTAGCTTGTCTTGTTTCTTGTCAGCTCCTCTTAAATTAACCTGTCTCTCTTTTGCCTCTTGGCTTTTTCCATTCTCTTACTTGGGTTAATCTTAATCTTACTTCATGGTTTGCTTTGTAGCTCGATGTCTGGCCCCCAAAAGAGTAATAAAAAAATCCACAACATTTTAGTGAACTAATGTGGCCTGTATTTCCATATGGCCTGAGAAAGATGGAAAAAAAAAAAAAAGGACGATACGGCTCCTTTAAGAGTTTCTATGGTGGCCAGATGGTGGTGGCACACATATCAAGTCAAAGCACTTGGGAGGCAGAGACAGTGCAATCTCTGTGCCTTTGAAGCCAGCCTGGTCTACAGAGGTATTTCTGGGACAGGCTCCTAAACTACAGAGAAACCCTATCTTGAAAAATAACAACAACAAAGAAAGAATATACCTTATTCTTAGCACCTCATGGAACCGTCTCAAAAACTGACCTCATACTTGGTAACAAAAACCTCAACAAATACAAAAAATTGGAACAACCCCGTGTATCTTTTCAGATTACCATGGCTTAAAATTAGAATTCAATAGTATTACTAATTCCAGAAAGCCCATAAGTACACATGGAAATTAAACAATGCTCACCTGAATCATCAATGGGTCAAGGAAGAAATAAAGGGAAAAATTAAAGACTTCCTATAATTTAATTAAAATGACCACAAAACATACCCAAATTTATGGTACTCAATGAAAGCAGTGTTAAGAGGAAAATTGTTAGCACTAAATGCCTACATAAAGAAGTTGGAAACCACACTAGTGAATTAACAGAACATGTGAAAACTTTAGAACAAAGAGAAGCAAACTCATCCAAGAGAACTAGACAGCAGGAAATAATCAAATTGAGAGCTGAAATCAATAAAATAGAAACAAAGAAAACAATACACAGAATCAATGAGACAAAGAGCTGGTTCTTTGAGAAAATCAACAAAATAGACAAACCTTTATCTAAACTAACCACAAGGCAGAGAGAGAATATCCACATTAACAAAATAAGAAATGTAAAAGAAGACATAACAACAGACCTGGAGGAAATACAGAGAATCATCAGGTCATATTTCAAAAACCTGTGCTCTACAAAATTGCAACACTTAAAGGGCATATACAACTTTCTGGTAAATATCACTTACCAAAATTAAATCAAGACCAGATAAGCAAATTAAACAGATCTATAACTGCTGAAGAAATAGAAACAGTCGGGCTGGAGAGATGGCTCAGTGGTTAAGAGAACTGACTGCTCTTCCAGAGGTCCTGAGTTCAATTCCCAACAACCACATGGTGGCTCACAACCATCTGTAATGAGGTCTGGTGCCCTCTTCTGTCATGCAAGCATACATGGAAGGATTGTTGTATACATAATAAATAAATAAATCTTTAAAAAATAAAAAAGAGAAATAGAAACAGTCATCAAAATCTCCCAACCAGAAAGAGCCCAGGACCAGATGGTTTCAGCACAGAATCTTAAAAGACTTTCAAAGAAGAACTAATACCAATACTCTTTAAATTATTCCACACACTAGAAAGAGAAGGAATATTGCCAAACTCTTTTAATGAGGCTACAATTAATTACCCTGATACCCAAGCCACATAGTAATAAAAACATTACTAAGAAATAGAATTATAGACCATCTCAGTCATGGACATTGATGCAAAAATACTAAATAAAATTCTGGCAAATCAAATCCAAGAACACATCAGAATCATCATCCACCATGATAAAGTTGGCTTCATTCCAGAGATGGAGGGATGGTTTAACATATGAAAATCTATCAATGTAATCCACCATATAAACAAACAGAGAAATAAACCACATGATCATCTCATTAGATGCCAAAAAGGCTTTCGAAAAAAAATACAACATCCCTTCATGATAAAAGTCTTGGAGAAGCCGGGCGGTGGTGGCACATGCCTTTAATCCCAGCACTCGGGAGGCAGAGGCAGGCGGATCTCTGTGAGTTCGAGACCAGCCTGGTCTACAAGAGCGAGTTCCAGGACAGGCTCCAAAACCACAGAGAAACCCTGTCTCGAAAAAACAAAACAAAACAAAACAAAACAAAAAACAAAACAAAACAAAACAAAAAAAAAATACCAAAAAAAAAAAGTCTTGGAGAGAGCAGGGATACAAGGAACATACCTAAACATAATAAAGGCAATATACAGCAAGCTAACAGCCAACATCAAACTAAATGGAGAGAAACTCCCAACGATTCCACCAAAATCAGAAACAAGACAAGGTTGTTCCCTCTCCATATCTATTCAGTATGGTTCTTGAGGTCCTAGCTAGAGCAAAAAGACAACAAAAGGAGATCAAGGGATACAAATTGAAAAAGAAGAAGTCAAACTCTCACTATTTGCTGATGATATGATAGCCTTCATAAGCAACCCCCAAAATTCTACCAAGGAACTTCTACAACTCATAAACACTTTCAGTAACGTAACAGGATACAAGATCAACTCAAAAATATCAGTAGCTATCTTGTACATAGATGATAAATGGGCAGAGAAAGAAATCAGAGAAACATCACCATTCACAATAGCCACAAATAGCATAAAATATCTCAGAGTAACTCTAACCAAACAAGTGGAAGACTTGTATGACAAGAACTTTAAACCTTTGAAGAAAGAAATTGAAGAAGACACCAGAAAGTGGAAAGATCTCCCATGCTCTTGTGTAGGCAGAATTAACATAGTAAAAGTGGCAATCTTACCAAAAGCAACCTACAGATTCAATGCAATGCCTATCAAAATCCCAGCAAAATTCTTCACAGAACTTGAAAGAACAGTACTCAACTTCATATGGAAAAGCAAAAAAAAAAAAAAAAAAAAAACCCAAGAC